ATGTGACCGACAATTTTGCGTTCTTGACCGGGAAAAATAAATTGTATGTCAAAAATAACAGTTACTGTTTATACTTCTAAAGAAGTCTAAATCTCTACAACATCCAGACAACCGCCTCGGACGAGACGATAGCCATGCATGTACAACTCACACATAAAATAAATAAATAGTATTATCCAACAAGGATTCAATCATGACAACTTGCTCATCACATTCACAAACTTGAAGTTTGACAAGTGTGGCTCCCGACACACTACCGCACAGGCATCCCGGATGGGCGTGCCTGTCGCTACTCTACGTCTTATAACATAATTATCCAACGAGGATGCAATCATGACCCATTGCTCGTCACAATTATGGAATTGAAGTTTAACAAGTACGGATCCCAGCACACTTCCGCACAGGGTTCCCTGATGTGCGTGCCTGTCGTTATTCGTTTATGAAGTTTAACAAGTGCGGATCCCGACACACTTCGACACAAGATTCACGGCACATTTCTAAAGTTCAACAAGTAAGGCTCCCAGCACACTTCCGCACAGGGTTCCCTGATGGGCGTGCCTGTCGTTATTCGTTTATGAAGTTTAACAAGTACGGATCCCAGCACACTTCTGCACATGATTCCCAGCAGTGCCATGTTTTTGAAGTTCAGCAAGTACGGATTTTGGCACACTTCCACACAAGGTTCCCGTGCGGCGTGCCTAACATGTACGGGTTTGAACACGCTTCCTCATTTGGGATATCATTTATAAAGTTTCACAAGTACGGATCTTAGCACACTTCTGCATGTGCTTAAGCCGTGGATGGGCGTGCCTACGTTGCTTGGAATGCAGCAAAAAATGAATTCGTTAGAAAGAGGACACAGTATAATGTCCTATTTTAACGAATAACATGACATTCACCTACAACATATCAATTCCACAATCTAACTATTTTCTTTACACAATTTCTACAATCGTTCAAAACATAATTCCTACTGTCTGCAAGGAATACAGAAGGCAGCAGACGTAGAACAAGCCCTAGCTTCAACAACAAAATACTAGCAAATTATTACTTCTATCACCAAACCTGCAAAATCATATTCTCCGTGTCTGCAATCTCGCAAACTAAATTTCCATTAGCGGCAAACCCCGATCGTCCAACCCTAGTTTCCACAGTTTCAACCACACGACAGATTCGATAACAGCAGCTAGTTTCTATAGTCCAACAAAATCAACGAACTAGCATAAACCTATTCTCATAGCTCGTGCGCCCAGCTCCATCGCACCGCGGCATTCTATCGTCATACAGCTCTGGCAAATTTTTGCCGCAGGCCGCCCACAATTGCTCATAGGCAGGATAACCCCGCAGCATCTCCATATCAAAGACCGAAGGACTAAGCCCTAGATCGGTTCCATCAGGTGTGAATCAGTTATAATCCAGCTGAAACTCGGGCAAATCGCAATGCTCGGATCCCGCCCGTTGAAAGTCCACACATCTGCCACCATCCTTCAACGTACGAACAGGATTACTAACCCCAGTCAGCCGGGACTGGCCCATGGCAAGGGCTCTTCAGACCCTCTTGCAGCGTGTCCGACTTAGTGCCCACACACTTGATCCCCCACACTCCCACCACCCCAGCAACAAGCTCTGGCTAGGCACCCCATCTTCTTGAGAGC